GTCGAATTATGAAGATGGACCGACGTAGTAAATGTGATAAGTACCATGCACCAAAGGACATCTGCGTGGTATCGCGTACAGTATGCATTATTTATGACTGTAATATGTAATATGGAAGCAACCGTGCTTTTGTCATGCAACATCTGTCTTGCGCGTTAAATGTACGCGAACCGTAGTAGTTGGAGGTACAAAGACCTCTCGCGGTACGCGGCACAGCGTGCTCTTTTGCGTTCATACAAAAATTTATCATCGCAACAGTATGCAACTGATACGCGACAATGGGAGCGCCAACGTCATGACTTAAACGTTCTCCAAAATATATAACTCACACAACGCCGGCGGTCCCCGAGCGAAGGCGTGGAAAAATCGATATACTGTTTCAACGTATCCGCGAAAGGTAAGACGTAAACGAACGAGCTGCTTCATGGAACGGAAAATGAATGTGGCACAGTCCGTGTAATAAAGCAAGAATTTCATTTGCATTGCCTCCGAGTCTACACATCGCATTTATTTTCATTTGTTTCCCGAAACGGGAATATATATCCTTTCAGGGAGGAGGAATTATTAAAGTAACACACTCTCTGCAAGATAGAGAAACCATCTCGAGAGTTTCACACACAGCATATCTCTTGCGATATGAGACCTCTGTTGAATCGGTACGTGAGAACTCGAGTGGCTCTCGAAATTGTTGACGTATACTCGATGCTGTTGACCCTTTTGCGCTCGTCATTCCCATGCAACGCAACGTATCGAAAGTACTTGTACAGTTAGCACTTACGAAACGGATATTGTATTCGACAGTTTACTGAATCAATGTGAAATCACGAAAGTCCGCCCACTCATTGACTTATACGGGAATTCTTTCGTTTACTCAGTGTCGAGAACAGATTTCAGAAAAACTACGAGACGATCAGATGATACCATACAATGTGAAGAGATAAACAGCTAATTAATTTGTCTTTTCCTTATCGTTAGATCTACAACTATTGCGGCAAGTTCCGTACATGTATAACTGTAGAAAAAAGTTGGAGTCTGTTCATAGTCGAGGTCGCGACCCTGTAAACCAGCGTATTCGACTGTGCATTGGCGATGCATTTTATGTTTTACGTATCGTAACGGTGCACTCCCACGCATCCAACTAACGGCGGTGTCGAAGTAATGAAAATTACTCGCATACATATTAATCGACGGTCTACATGAATGATCGCGAAAGAAACTGAATGTGCAAATACAATAAGATCATGTAATATGGATGACAACGGATTGAAAATGGAACAGAAAACGTTGGCTACTTTTATACGATTATATGATTATACTTTAAGATTACATCACGTAGTCTGCGTTGTCAAATTGAATGCTAATGTCCATTAAATATAGCAATATTAATTATAATTACAGAGAATTAATAATTTTAGATATGTAATTAATATATATCAAATATAATTTTATGTCAATTAATAATTTTAGATATGTAATTAATCAATTTTCGATTAAATTCAAATATTCAAGCAGAGTTCGTTTTAAGAATTTTCAGTTTGAATATTAATATATTCAATTAAAATAATCAAAAAATTGTATCTAAAGTAAGCAATCAATTTTTAAAAGGCAGAATTAATCAAGTCTAAATTAATTAGAGAAGACAAATTAATTTACAGATAAATTACTGAAGAAGATCTGGAATACTCCGTAAATAAATGTCTGGTTTTACAAAAAGATTACTGAACAACAGAAACGGTAGATTCCCTAAAAATCCATTTATCAAGACTTCATACGAATAGCGCTCAGATCAAAGCGTTAACGGTACGACAATATCGTTACACATTCTCTTAGGCACCCACGCACGATCTCGCTCGCCCACGTAAAGGATCCACTGCTGCAAGGAAGTAAGATACAATTTCTACAAATCGCACACAGGAAGAGAGACACGCGTTAATGCGAGTAGGGAAAGAAGAGCAACGCGGTCGAAATCGTGTAACACGAGATTCCATTTTTACATGGTGACGCACTTTCCCTTGCGAAACGCGATATCTCGCAATCGCGAATGTTGCCGGGGGAATTATCGGATTATGGTCAAAGTTGTTTTATGTACAGACAATAAAATCGTACTACTATTTTCTGTAACTCGAGACATACGAGAGAATTAATGAAGATTGTAGAGAAATGAATGATAAATGTTGGCAATAAATGTATTAATAACAATAATGAGATAAATTGTAATCATTCTATAATCATACCTTTAAGATATAATTTAATGTTTTTCAACATTAAACTTTCAACATAAACAGCAAAAAAAATAACTATTTTAGTGTAATTTAAAACAGTAAGTAATTTAGTAAGTAGTGAAAATAATAATTTAAAATTAAAAAAAATTTCAAATACAAGTGAACATAAATGCGATCAGTGATTGATTTATGTCAACTTGTTACGAGATAGTTAAAAAAACTCAGATAATTAAAAAAACTTCACAATCTTCAATAAAGTAATCAAAGGATCTGTCTCTCTTAAAAAGATGATTCAAGGAATCGCAGTAGAAAGCGAAAGGATTATCGCTCGGTGGTGAAGGTGCGCACTTCATGAGAAAAAGAGCACGTCTAGTTTCGTTTTACTCTGCTTATCATGAGAAACGGCGGCCGTTTATAAGACAATGCAGTCGCGAGAGTAAAGAGACGACCTCACTGGCGCGTAGGTGGCCTCCTTGCGACGTCGCACGACGGTGAACACGGAACACGGTGACAGAACGAAATGTCCGAGCCTTAAATGGCCACCTGAAACTCTCCTGCTGTTTGCTTCTTTGCGATCGCTCGCCCTTTCCCTCAGATTTCTTCCTCCGCAACCGACGCGACGGCGACGTGTATACGCACGCTTTAAACGTGCGGGCATAATGTCGTCGTAAGGATAGCGAGATCTTCTCCCTTCGGTGGCGTCAATTTTTCGCCTCGTCAGAACGTTTTCAAGTGATGCGATAACGAACGATCATCTACCTTCAGCTTTACGCAACGAAAATACTGAAGTGAAAATAGATATACACGAAGAGGTGATTAACACATCGACGGATAGTCATGGATGTCATTGCTTGGTAGAAAATTCATTTTGCATTGTCACTCTTAAATCACGAGATTTTTGTATTCTATATATCTCTTCTCCTCAACAATGAAAATATAGAAAAAGAAGAGATAATTTGGACATTGCCATTGCTCAACTTTAGCGTATCTTAGCTCGTCGACGATGAATTACACACTATTCTACACATGCGCGCGCGCGTGTGTATGTGTGTGTATGTGTAAAATAAAAAATTCTTACATACTTGCATGTAAGAATTTTTTAACTTTAAAACAAAGTTTTAAGGAAACTTTAACAACAAAGTTTTACTAGCATAGTAATTGTTTATTTAATTTACTTTTTATAAAAAATACAATAAAATATACGGACAATAAGAGCACATACATATATAATATCTACATTATATATTGGATATAAATGTACAATAATTATCTGTACTATCTTATTTGAACGTTTCGGTTTTTCTTCAAACCATCATCAGCAAATCCATAGGTGTCAAATTATGGCTATTCCCAATCAAAAAGTAGGGAAATGTTCATCTTCAA